CCTGAGGATATTTCTAGGTATAGCATAAGGTGCTCATTTGCTATTGGTGCTCATTTGCTCAGGACATCCTGAGTATATCCCGGGATAAAATTTGGATATCCACAGGATATCCGTAATGTCCGTCCTGGATGTCCTTCGGATTTCCTGAGGATGTCATAGTGCTGTCTGGGTATATATTCATACATATATATCTACAATGGATATCATTTACGGATAGACCTTAAATATTACTCTATATGTTTGTGGATATTATTCCTTTCTTTCATATAATTCGATATTTTTCTAACTATCAGGTTTGTAGAACTTATAAAAGGAGATTACAGAGAGAGGTATTTAAAACTTCATCCAAAAGGATGAAGGTGGATAATATATTTTACCATATATATCAACCAATTCAGCGAAATAACAATGATGAGAATAATGATGAATCTATTGATTTGGATGAAAATGATGTGCGCAATGGCTTTGAAAAAGCTAATTTTATAGAATTTATAAATGATAATGAGAATATACAATTGACCAGTGATAGAGAACACAATGATAGCGAAGAGGATACAGATATTCAATCTAATGTCAGCTTACAGAGTGAAAGACAGGATAATAATTCCGATAATAGCGAAGATGAAAATGAAAATGTTCTTATTGTTAATGAGGATGAGAAAGAACAGTATCTTATTCAATTAATTCGAAAGTGGGCTTTAGAAGGTGGGCATCTTTCTATGAAAAAACTGGATAATCTACTTAAAAAATTAAGTACTGTTTTTATTCATATACCTAAATCATATAAAACTTTGTTGAGTACTCCAGTAAACCTAGAGATACATGAATTTAATGATGTATCACAGATATGGTATAAAGGTATCAGAAGAAATTTGGATACTATGCAGCTGGAATCATATTTACATATGTGTGGTAGAATCATAATTGATATTAATATAGACGGATTACCACTATTTAAATCCTCAAAAGCGAAGTTTTGGCCAATTTTAGGCTACCTTACAATGACTAAAAATGCTCCTTTCATTATAGCCATTTATTTTGGAAAAACAGATCCTCAAGATTTAAATACTTATCTTGAAAAATATGTGAATGAAGTAGAAGATTTGCTCAATAATGATTATGTTTTTAATAATAAGAGATATCCATTTCAAATAAGGCATTATATTTGTGATGCATCTACTCGCTCTTTTGTGAAATGTTGCATAAGTCACTGTGGCTATGCTTCTTGTGAGAAATGTACTGTTGTAGGCGAATGGATTGAAGATAGAGTGACATATTAATCTAGATGAAAATCCAAGAACTGATTATTCATTTCTGCATCAGACTCAACCCCAACATCATCAACATCATTCTATATTGGAAAGGATCAATACTGGAATGGTATCACAATTCCGATTGGATAGTCTTCATCTTGTACATCTGGGTGTTTTTAAAAGGTTGATCACAGCTTGGTGTAAATGGAATGGTTTATGGAAACATCATAAAATTGCTGTTGCTGCAATATCAAGAGCATTAGAATTTCTCTCAGATTATTGCCCTCAAGATTTTAACAGGAAGCCACGATCATTAGAAGAATTGAAATTTTTTAAAGGAACAGGGTATCGATTCTGTAATTCAAGTGAAGGTGAAAAATACAAAAATGAGCGAATTTACTAAAAAATTTATAATTTCATTGGTCCAAACCTAGTAAATTTGCTCATTTTTGTAATTTTCACTCTTAATTAAATTATAGAATCGATACCTAGAATTTCGTAGATTATGCTTGTATGATATGGTATCCTAGTTTTTAGGGACTTTTTGAATGTAAATATTTACAAGCATTTTCTTTTATTACATTCAGCTATATATATATTATCAAATCCTGTTCTGGTTCATTCTATGAATGATTATGCAAATCAGTTGTTAAGAACATTTATTACACATGCTGCTACTATATATGGGAAGAAGTTCGTAGTATACAATGTTCATGCATTATCTCATTTGGCAGAAGAATGTGCCTTACATGGCCATTTAGAATGTTTCAGTGCATTTAGATATGAAAATTTTCTGAAATCCACTAAGAACTTACTTCAATCTGGATACAAGCCTTTACATCAGGTTGTCAATAGAGATTTGGAGAGGAATGTATCTGTACCAGTCATATTAGAAACTAATGCCCCAAAAATTACATTATCTAAAAGACAGACACCGCAAACTGAAGTTGTGCATGGAGAACACTATAAGCGTATTTCAATAGATGATGTTATTCTACAAACTGGGAAAAAGGATTCATGCTTCATAACAATTACTGACGAAATAATAATACTTGAAGATATTGTTTACAGTGAAAACTTAATATTTTTAGTGGGAAGAGTATTCCAAAAAATTAAGGATTTTTACATATATTCTCTTCCTTCATTTATTCTTGGAATCGTGTCTGTCTCTCAAATAAGTGAAAATATGAGAATTTTGTCAATATCTGAAATAAAAGCTAAATGTTGGCTTATGCCAGATCGTGACTCTTTTTTATGTATGCCATTATTGCATACATTTTCAGTTTTTCAAGCATTACAATAATCTTAAACCGCACCCTTCACAGTCCAAAATTTTTCTATATAAAAGTATGCATGCATAATTCTATTATTTATATCATATAATTTAGAACTAGCTAAAATCGCTAATGTTTAATCTTGTAATTTAGTTTGCAGTATTAAAGTTTGCACGCGAAGATGATAAAAGTGATGAGGAAGAAATTAATTATGAGATTGGTCTTACCAAATGGCTAACTGATATTGATGATCAAATGAAAGGTTTTACTTATTGGCCTCCATCTGATCAAGATGCTGGCAATTTTGTTAGGAAGGAAAAACCAGTAGACCGATTTTGGCCAAAATATTTAATTGAGGTCCTAAGGTATTACGGTAAGTGAATTTTGAAGTCACTTGAATTATTATGTAAACATTTATTATTTATTTTTTCTGCTATCCAAATTAATTATTCTTATTATTTATTTTTTTATACTATCCTAATGTTTATTTCCTCCATTTTATTGCAGATCTCTATATAAAAGCAAGAGCTGCTGTTAAAGGTTTTGTGGCAGAAGGTTCAGCCTATGAGACTGAAAAAGAAACTGGAAGGGGAAAACGAAAAAAAGTACGAAATAGACTCTTTGAAGACACTGATTCTGATGAAGAATTGTAAAGCGTAGCAAGAAATCAGTTCCAGCACCGCCAAATATTCCTTTCAAACGTGTACCGGTCAGGAAGGATATAATACAAACACCTGAAAACGAGCTTAATAATCGTCTTTTTTCAATGACTTGCTTTCCTCCTTCAAAAGTGAGTCATATGTTTGTAATAAATATTAAACTTAATTTAAAAAAATCATATTGCAAGTTCAAAAATTTTAATATTCTTGAAAAAAATTATTTGTTCAGGCATGCTCAAAAATCAATGTTTTTGAGAAACTAAAGAGGACACGGGAGATGAATAACAATACTTCTGTTAGTCACACTATGTTAATTGCACATGAATCCAATTATAGCAGTGACAGAAAATCATTTCGTAAAGACAAAGTACAATCACCTATTAAGGAGACATCACTAGTAACTGCAGAAGGTTCCTCCCACAAAGCTGTGTATCCTCTTTGGATGTAGATGAAGAGAACTTTGCATATGGTGAACAGAATGACACACCAAATAAGAAACGCCAGTGTAGAGATACTATGCAGCATGTTCCAAGTTCCTCTGTAGTTTTTCATGGCTCTCCTGCGCAAACGAGACGCTTCAGTCCCCTTAAGTCTGGATTTCATCAGCACATTCTTTTTACTTCCCCAGCGAAAAATTCTTCTGAAAATCCTGATGTTGGTAAGTTTTCTTATAAAATTTTATAAAATATGATTTTTAAAAAATGTATTATATTTATTTCTTTTTTAATATTGGTGAAAAAGATAAGATATCAAAAGTGGCAAAGCTATGTGAGAGAATATATGTTCGATTAGAAGAAATTAATAAGAAGACAGATACAATCATTATGAATCAAGGCAGACTTAATAGATCTCTTCTTCCAAATGAAAAGAGATTTCAAAAACCTATAAATCTTCCAGCTCTGCCTGTCAAGACAGAAGATCAATTGAATTTATTGGAAACATTTTTAGAAGATGAGAACAATTTTGCAGCTGTGGTGAGCAAACATCTATTTTTATGTTTA